TCCAAGGCTTAACCTACTGCGCCACACCAGGACTGCCTAGGAAACCCTATTGGACAGTTCTACTCTATCATTTGATGTCGATATGACTCGGAATAGACTCAACTGCAGTGGGTTTAAGGGTTTGGGTTTTTTTTTTTTTTTTTATCATTACAAAATTAAAGAACACAGGGAAGAAATCTCCCTGCTCATTTTTCTCCCCTGTATTCTTGCAACCTTTAAAACTCAGATTCACTAAATCTTTTGATTGGTTAGCACAATCTCAAGACTGAACCAACATCTTTCTTAAGAGAAAAAAAAAAAAAAAAGTCTTAGAGAAGCCTCTCTCAGGTTAGGTAGAGTGCTGTGGGTTAATGTGCCAGACTGCAAAGCCATTTGAACTGCAAGGTCTGCTGCAAGATGCTCCTCAGAAACCCTATACAGAGACACTATGGGTCAGAACCCACTCGATGGCACTTAACAGCAAAAACAACAATACAAATCTATGGAGTCCTGGTGTGGTGCTTAACATACAAATATATAGATGAAAGGCATTGTTTCAGTTATCTATTCACCAGATACATAACATCTCAAAACTCAATGAAGTAAAACAACAATCATTTTATTATGCTAATGGATTCTGCAGGTCAGGAATCAGGGCAGGGCATAGAAGTATGGTTTGTCTCTGAATCACATGTCAAGGGCCTCAGCTAGGAAACTTGGGGATGATTCAAATGGCTGGGAACTAGAATCTGTTTCTCTCAGGCATCTAGCATCTGCACTAGCTGATTGGAGGGCTAAACTCAGCTGAGATAGTCCACTAGCACCCCTTTTCAGGGCATCTCCATGTGTCTTGGGCTCTGCAGTGCAGTGAATTATTTAGTGTCACTCTGCTAGCCACGTGTTTGTAACTCCCATAGAAGGACTTTTTCCTGGTGGGTCTGGATATGAGAAGGTGAGGGAAGATGCTGATAGGATTATATGATTCAGTTGTGAGTGATTATTAACAGTTAATTATGATTGCAAAAACCTGAAAATCTTGATGAGGGGCTTAATCACTTTTGCCATCCTGATGTGAATAAAATGAGCCATCTTGGTGATGTGAGTGGGCTGTGTGCTCTTTTAGCTTGACTAAGTTTGTCACCGTCTGACCTCTGGTTCTTGGGACTTGAGCCGGTGGCCTGATCTGATTTGCCATCTTCCACAGTCTTGTGAATCAACAGTCGATTCAGGTTAGGTAAGGAGAATCCTCCAGAGGGATTTGAGACTTGCCAGCCTCCACCACCCCATGGGTTTAGCAAATTGTGGAATCCTGGGAATTGGAGGAAAATATTGAGGGGAGAAGTGATTAACATCGGGGACTATGGAGTGGTGGTGCTGCAGGATAATGCACTGGACCGCAAGGTCAGTTTGAACTGAAAGGTTGGCAGTTCAAACCTCACCAGCCACTCCTCATAAACTCTATACAGGGTCACTATGAGTCAGAACCAATCGATGGCACTTAACAACAACAACATAGCACTTTAGAAAAGTCAGACATTTGAGAAGTCTTTAACCTCCACCTCATAGGGACCAGCCTTGTGCTGATCCTTCCACAAGAATTGAGTGTTGCAGGCTCTCTCAATAGCACATCAGCCTCTTAGTTAGACTTTTCCATGATGACAGAGACAGCAAACAAGGTGAAGCTGTATGGCCTTTTATGACTTAAACTCAGAAGTCATTTGTGGTCACTTTCACCATGTTCTACTGGTCAAATCAGTCACGAGTTCATTCAGATTTAAGGAGAGGGAACATAGGCTCTACCTTTTTATGAGAAAAGTATCCAAAAATTTATGACTATATTTTAAAGCCACCATGGCTGTATTTATATGGAGAGATATGGAAATGTATGCCAAAGTGTCAACAATGTCCACTATAAAGCTGCAGCATTATATGTAATATATATTACTAACAATTGCTGTTGTCAAGTGCTGCAAGTCGGTTGTGAGTCATAGCCCCCTGGATAGGGTTTCCAAGGAGCGGCTAGTTGGGTTGAACCTTGCAGTCAGCAGTCCAGTGCTTATCCTATAATGCCACATCAGGATTCCATTACTAACAATAAAATGTCCAAAAACAAATAACAGCAGTAAGTGCAGTTCATTGTAACTCAAATACATCATAAATGGGGAACAATCTGTAGATTAAGATCATGCCAACATTATGGTTGCTAACAGTAGCCATTCTCTATCTCAGTGATTAATACTGAACTTTAATTTCATAGGCCTAGAAAATTTTCAGAAAAATAAAAACAAAAGATGGGATCAAATAAATTTATGGTTACCTTTAAAAAGGGTTTGTTAAAAAAAAAAAAAAAAAAAGGGTTTGTGTCCTGGATTACCAACTCCAAGTTAGAGAGACAAAGTGTTATTAGAAGGTGGCAGTAGTGGGGGGAGTAGATTTCTGACTAAAACAGGCTGTTTTAATGGAATTCCACTTGAGATCAGAATACATGATCTATATATTTTCACATTGGAATGCACACTCTGGGGGAGTCATGTACTTTTCCAGAAGCTTTGCATTTCTCAAGTCACAAGATAATCACAAGATGTCAAAGTCAACCAGAACAATCAGATAAAGCACCAAGATTAGCATTTGTGACTACTCCATGTCTTAACCACTCTCCAGGTAGAAATGTCTAGCTAGACGCACACAGTATACCTATCCTTAAGCAATACAGAATTTATCAGAGTTCCACAGAGCCAGGGGTGAGGAATATGGCAAACATAACGTGAGTTAGGCTAACTACAAACATGAAGTAAATTACTCACTTTTTTATTCCCCATAGTAAGAATATTTCAAAAAATGACTCCTGTCTACTATCACTATTAGGAGCTCTGGTAGCGTAGTGGCTACGAATCGGGCTGTCAACCTCAAGGTCAGCAGTTCGAAACAGCCAGCTGTTCCACGGGAGAAAGATGAGACTTTCTGCTCCTGTAAAGATTTATAGCCTCGGAAACCCTGTACAGGGTCGCTATGAGTCAGAACTGACTCCACAGCACATAGCAACTATCACTGTTATTACATAAATGAGATGATGGTGTTGTTGTTAAGTACCACAGAGTCAGTTTCAATTCATAGAGACCCTGTACAGGGTTTCTTCCAAGGAGCAGGTGGGAGAGTTTGAACCGACAACCTTGTGGTTAGCAGTCCACTGCTTATCCTACAGCACCACACCAGGATATAAAATTATAAAATAAAACGAAGCCCTTAAGAGTGAATACATTTAATATTATCAGTGAAAATCTCACTATATATTTGTTGTTGTTAAGTGCCATCAAGTTGGTTCTGACTCACAGGAATCCGAGGAGTGTTTAGTGAGTTTGAGCTGCCAACCTTGCATTTAGCAGTCCATTGCTTACCATACAGCTCCATAGCAGGATTCCTACTAACTTAAATACATATTTAACTTCCCTGCTGATCTAAGTTAGTTTGAAAAGAGCCAGCAAACAAAAGGCCTATTTCTCCTTTTCACAAAACAGTTTGTTTTAAAAGAGGCCATGGAATAAAATGAAGGTGTTAAAGATCTGGAAAAGGGCTTCAGAAATCAAGCTCCAAGAGCTCCTCCACTAAGTCAGATGGCACTGGAGAAGATATTCTTTGTCATATAAGAATTCTTTTTTGTCAGCTCCTGACCTGGGGGCCTTATTGTCCATATGACACTAAGCAGAAATTCTGCTTATAATAATGACGTTTATAAATAGTGACGTTTGTAAGAGGCCTTTGGAGTCAGGAATATGGAGGTGAGAATCCCAGCTCTATTACTCACTAGAGTGTTGGAGCATAAGACTTAACTTGAATTTGCTTTCTTTATAACAGAGCTGTGCCCATCACTCAGAATGTCTTTCTGTAGATCGTTATGTACTCTAGGTAGAGAACTTAATACAGTGTTTGTTCCCCAGAAAATGGCATAGATGCACTCGTATATCTAACTGAAAAATAGATGGCCAATTGTTTGCTCTACAGGTTTAACCAAAGGTTTTAAACACAGGAAATTCCCTTCTGTGGAACATTTTGAAACATTTAAATGTATACAAGTTTTTAACAAGTTAAAAATGTGAAAAGACATTGGATATTTGTAGCTGCTACTAAAATTGAATTATTTGAATTCTTGGTTTATGATTCAAAAAGACCACGCAGCCTACTACTAGATTCTAGCAATTGAGAGAAAACTAGATGGCATTTCCCGTTTTTTTCTGCCGTCTTATTCTAGCTCTTATTCTCTCTTGCACTTGTAAAGAAACTGCCCCCTACCTAGGCTTTAAATTGAATTAAGGTTAGAGAAGAATGAAGCCTTCACTGAGACAGCTGCGCAAAAATCTGTCTACAACCGCTACCCACTTAATCCTTGTTCTTCTTTCCACACTCCACGCACAACCTCACAGTCCCGCCCTCTGACAGTGACCAATCAGAGAGTGAGAAGTGAGCCGGATGGGGCGGACTGTACTTGGCTCTAGAGACGAATCCCCTCCCTCAGACAGCAGGGGCGGAAGCGGAAGAGAGCAGAAAGCCCTGGTTTGGCCTTTGGTTCCGCCATGGGGATGTCCCGTAAGACCTAGTCAGGATATCTAGGAGGTCCGCTGGCTTGGGTCCTCGTCTCATATCTGTCAGCATAATTGAGCGAAAAGAGACTAAGGAGTGCGGGAGGGAGGAAGCCCAACCCCTAAAGAAAAGAGTGAGCGGATAAAGCAGCATCGGGGCTGTGTGGAGGGTCTCTAGAGGCCGGTCCTGGTCGGCACCAGCTCCAAGCCATGGTGCAGGCGGAGCTCAGGGCGATCCCCAGGTGAGGGCAGCTGCTCCACCCGGGAGTCCCACCACGAACCGACCGGGTCAATGCGAGGTGGAGAAGAAAAGATGCTGCCCGCACAGCTCCCAGGTAGCACCCACAGCGGCTGCAGTTGCTGCAACATTAAGCTCAGCGTCCGCCGTGGAGGCAGCTTGAGCTGCTGGTAAAGTCGCCCAACAGTGCTTTCTCCGTAACACAGGGCTCCTCATTACAATCTCCTTAGAGCTCTTTTTCTTTACTACGTGGAGCTGAAATATCCAAAAACATGCCTTGCACTTGTACCTGGAGGAACTGGAGACAGTGGATTCGACCTTTAGCGGTGGTCATCTACCTGGTGTCCATAGTGGTTGCAGTTCCCCTATGCGTGTGGGAATTACAGAAACTGGAGGTAAGAGGGTCCTGTACCATTGGCCTTTACCCATTGTTTTACTATCTGCCCATCCAAGGTTGGGAAAGAGATCCGTGCCTCTTCCAGTCCCACCCTTCCCCAAACTTGGTATCCTGAAAAATGTCACGTCAATCAGAGCCCAACCCCAGAGCAGAAACCCGCCTGGTTTCTTTTTCACGATTTTAAAAGTATGCTACTTTTAAAGGGAGGTGGGGCTGGTTTGAGAAAATAGGGTCTGTTAAGATAGTTGCTTAAAAAGAGCACTGTTTTTATTTATCACTTTCTTGAAAGGTAATTTTATCCTGAAATCTGATCTCTTTGGATAGCAGGTTCACAACTAGATCAGATAAACTACTTTGAAAAGCCTGTATTGAACTTTATTAAATATTAACTATCTTATTGAATTAAAGGACTCTAGTTTAACTTTGTTTTTACTTTTGAAATCAGCTGTTAATCAACAAAGGTTTTGCAAAAAGTTCCTTGCATATTTTTTGATGTCATATTCTTATTATGACATCAGTGTAAACTACCACACGCAGCCTGGAAGTCCCTAAGGTAAATACTAAGATGTGTATGCTTTTTTGTAAATTATATAGTAAAGTTTAAATTCAGAGTCAATAAAAATCAGAAAATACTTTCACTCTTACTACCTATATACAAGAGGTGTTTACAACTCCCTGACACTTTAAGGTCTTTATTGTAGAAATTATTTTTACCTAGTTAAAAATGTCCTTGTTTCATATGTGTTCTGTATACTAAATTATGCTTTTGTTCACTTTCTCCTACTGGTGTGATCGATACAGTTATATTTAATAATTAATATTTTTCTACATTAAACATTTATCATTTGTTACATATTTATCTGTCCCCCATAATTTGCCTACCAAAATTCAACAAAATATATTTATACAAATAGATTTTTTCCATTTTCAAGTATTTCTTTGGAGTATAGTATTGGAATACTTTTAAGGTTCCATGTATATCAACCTGGACTCCTGGTGTGGTGCTTTAGGATCAGCACTGGACTGTGATCCGCAAGGTCTGCGGTTCAAGCCCACCAGCTGTTCCTCGGGAACCCTATATAGGGTCACTATGAGTCGGGACCAACTCAAAGGCACTTAACAACAACAAAAAAATCAGCCTATTTTAAGACTTCTCTTAGTTGTTGGTTTCAGTTGTAGTTTAATTGCCACTAGCTGTCAAGTGGAGTCTTGGTGTGGCGCTGTGGGTTAGTGTGCTGGACTGCAAGGTCAATTTGAACTGCAAGGTTGGTGGTTCAAGCTCACCAGCCACTCCTCAGAAACCCTATTCAGGGTTGCTGTGGGTTGGAACTAAATCAGCAGTGCTTAAAAAAAAAAAAAAAACCTGTCAAGGAAAACTTTAATCAGTAATTAAATAAGACAAGTTTGAAACTGTATTTGTTTAACATGAAAAGTTAGTAATAGGAAGTTCTGTCTCTCCGTTCCCCAACTATTGTATTCTAAAAAATACTTTCTTCAACACTTAAATAGGAAGACTAGATTAAATACTGATTTTATTCTTTCTGTACCCCGTTATACTAGCAAAAACAATATTTTGTACCAGGTGCATTATAATATAATTTGGCAACATATGAATGGGCTTCAAAAAGTTCGTGGAAACATTTTTCCACCAACTTTCTGAAGTGCCCTTGTAAATGAGCTATAGCTTTTAAGCAGAGGTTAGTGTGACAAAATAGTCTTTGACTCCCTTGGAGTCACCTTCATTGCTGTTTGTCTCCACGCCTCACATTTAAGCTGTCAGCAAATTGGGTTGACTATACCTGTAAATCCAGAATTTAGCTATTAATCTAACTACCTCTCATCATCTCCACTGCTAACAAAATGTCTGGTCGGGACTAGTTTCAACACAGCAGCCAAAAGAATCCAATTAAAACATGTCACATTTGGTCTGTCCTTTTCTTAAAGCTTTACAGCCACTCATTGTTAAGAGCCTAGGAGAGTAGGTTCCGACTCATTGACCCTGCATAGGGATTCCCAGGAGTGGCTGGTGAGTTTGAACTACTGACCTTGCAGTTAGCAGTCCAGTGCTTATTTTACAGGAACCCCTCCAACCTTTCCTGGTCCCAGAGTAAAAGCCAACATTCCTATGTCCAGTGTGATCTGACACCATCCCCTCTCCCTCCCCCATTGACTTTCCTCAGTGCCTTTGTTTTAACTACTCTAACTTTGCTCAAATGCCCCAGGCATGTGTGTTCCTGGAGACCTTTGCACTAAATGTTTCCTCTGTGGAATGCACACACCTTGGAGAGTATTCTGGTTTCCTTTACCTCCCTCAGGTCTGTGCTCAAATATTACCTGACTGCCCTACTTAAAACTACAAGCTTCCCTTCCTCACCACTTCATATTGCCTTCCCTATTTTATTTTTCTTGCTAGCACTTAACTGCCATCTATCAAAATACATATTTTAGTTCTTTTCTCTCCCCTTCCTTCTGCCCAATTATCTGATCTATAATCATTAATTAATATTTTAATTCCAGTGATGAATCAGGCTTTATACTATATTGTTACTGATATAAACATGACACCTACTTTCTTGAAATTTAATGGTGAAGACAAACACAACCAACATAAGCAAATCAAATAAAATTCCATGAAGCTACAAAGGGAACAAAAAAATACAGAAATAGCAGAGGAAGGGCAATCATTTTACACAATTTCTAAAGACTGTTCTACTAGCTATGGAAAATGAAGTGGAAGTGTGGGGAAGTTGGAGTCCTGGTGTGGCACTATAGGTAGGAAAAGCACTAGACTGCTAACCACTAGCTGCTTCATGGAAACCCTATGCGACATTGCTTTGAATTGGAACCCTCTCGACCAGACTTAATAACAACATGGGAAGTAGAAAGTTAAGGGATAAAGGATGCCTAGGCTACCTCTGAAAAACTGAATTGAAAGTATCCTTGGAAGTAAACAACCAGGACTAGGCAGTGCACTAGATTGGAGATGAAAGGCAATTAGAGGGATAAATCAAGGGTGAAGCCAAGGTTTCTAATGCAAACAACCCAATAAATGGTGGTGTTGGTTATGATGGTAGAAAATTAAGTGATGGGGACAGGATTCAGGGAAATTGAGTTCTGTTCTGGACATTCTGTTTTGAGTTATACCAGAAACATGAAATGGTCAAGCCGCATATGTAGTTGGATATGCAAGTCTAGAGCTCAGATTTGAGCTGCCAATAGAAATGTGGGAGTAGACTGAATGTAGGTGGTGTTTAAAGCAATGTTGTTAAGTGCTGTTGAGTCAGTTCCGGCTCCTAACAACCCTATATAAGGTTTCCGAGAAGTGGCTGATGAGCTTGAACTGCTTACTAAACTGCTTTGCAGTCTGGTGCATTAACCCACAGCACCACGCCAGGACTCCCCATAGGGCTGAGTGGGGTTAAAAATGGAAGAAGAAAAGGATTAGGACGTAGAGGTCAAGTAGCAGAATAGGAGTTTACAAAGAAGACGGAGTTCTCATCTGTGGGGAAGAGGAATGCGTGGAGAGAGGGTGTCAGGGAACCTGTGACAGGAGTGTTTCAGTAAGGACAAAGTCCAGTGTTGCTGAGAAAACAAAAATCCATTGCTGTCAAGTGGATTCCAACTCAGTGAGTAACCTTACAGGGAAAAGTAGAACTCTGCAGGGTTTCCAAAGCTATAAATCATTATAGAAGCCAACTGCCTCATCTTTCTCCTCTGGAGCAGCTGGTGGGTTCGAACCACCAACCTGCAGTTAGCATCCCAATGCTTAACCCACTGTGCCACCAGGGCTCTGGTTTTTTGGGTTTTTGTTTTTTCCAAAAAGCCAGGAAGGTCATTGGTGATGTTAATGGTTTTCGTGGTTCTATAAGGGCCACAACAAGAAAATGGAATTATTTGAAAATTGAATGTCAAGGGGAAAAAGTAGAGTCAGGATATGATGACATGTTTTTATTTTGAGAATTGCCTCTGAATGGGCCTGAGAAATAAATGAATGGCACAGTAGAGGGAAGAGTGGGATTAAAGAAAAGTTTTGGGGTTTTTTTATGTTTTATTTTGTTTTTAAGGTTAGAGGCATTAACTAGAATATGTCTTCAAGATTTAGGTTGCTTACTCCATTTAGAAGTCCTAAAGTATAGGAGTCCTGGTGTGGCACTGTGGGTTAACGTGCCAGACTGCAAAGCCGTTTGAACTGCAAGGTAGGTGATTCAAGCTCACCAACTGCTCCTCGGAAACCCTATACAGGGTCGCTATGGATCAGAACCAACTGCACAGCACTTCACAACAACAACAAAGTATAGAAATTAATTTATAGATATGGCAACTGAAGCAGAGAGAGAAGTAGATACAGTGACATTGTACAAGGCAATTCACCGACAATATTATCACTCTGAAGCATTATTCAGTAAATAAGTTCAAGCATCTAAAATGCTTTCCTCTGTTGTCAGCACTTAGTAGGCACTCAGCAGCCTGAACTATTGTTGATGTTTAAAATATATAATCATTGGTTTTACACTGGAGCAGCAATTCTTTTTTTGTGTGCAATATCATCTATGGGATCTATCTCTATTAAGCACTAAGGCAAAACTGCATGCGTTGGTTGAACACTGAAGGAGCCCTGGTGCACTGTGGGATAAGTGTTGGACTGCTAACTGCAAAGTCGGCAGTACAAACCCACAGCCACTCTGCAGAGAAAAGATAAGGCTGTCAGTTCCCATAAAGATTTGTAGTCTCAGAAACCCTATGGAAGGTCTCTACAAATAGGAATCTGAGTCCTTAACAGTGAGTGGGTTTGGGTTATTGTGTGTGTGATTGAACACAAAAGGAATCCTGGAGGCAAAATGGTTAAATGCCTGTCTCCTAACCCGTAGGTTTGTAGTTAGAAACCAGCAGTAGCTTCAGGAGAAAAGACTTGAAGATTTGCTTCTGGAAAACTTGCTACATCCTCAGAAACCCTGTGGGACAGTTTTGCCTATCCTTAAGGGTCACTATGAGTCAGAC